TATATATATATATATATATATAGATATATTATATATATATTATATATATATAATATATATATATATATTCTTCCTTCTTATTAAAAAGCCGCAAAGCAGCGGCTTCTCCACAGACGCATTCAGGTGTATATACACCTCAGCGTCTCTATTTGCTGCTCTTTAGCCCCCAATCACCGCCTTTAATTAAATTATTTACTCCTTATAGCTGCAGCAGCAGCAACAGCAACAGCAACAGCAAACGCAGCAACGCTAGTAGCAGCACCTGCAATACCAGCAGCAGCAGAATCAGCAGCAATAGAAGCAGCAGCAGCAAACACAGTAGCAGCAGCAAATCAGCGAATTGAAAGGCATGCAGTATGCGCAGCAGCAGCAGTAGCAGCAGCAGCAGAACATTCTCACTATCCACTTCATTGTAGCTGTGCATACACCCCAGTTTCTAAGGATCCCATAAGACCCAACAAACCCTAAGCCCTAATAGGCAACAAACCCTAAACCCTAATAAGCAACAAACCCTAAACCCTAATAAGCAACAAACCCTAAACCCTGAAGGGTGAGGCGGTAGGCAGATAACTCGCTGTATAGAAAAATAAAACAATAAAAGAATAGCAGAAATAAATTAAATTAAAAAACTTTAAATTTAAAATTATTAATAGGAGACGATAAGCCCTCAGCAACTAATGCACATGGTCTAGGGTTTAGGGTTTAGGGTTTAGGGTTTACGCAATTAGGGTATAGGGGGTAATCTTTTAGGTTCTCAGTCTTTCATGCTTTAGGTCTTAGGGTTTAGGGTTTAAGATTTAGGGTTTAGGGTTTTAGGGTTTAGGGTTTAGGGTTTAGGGTTTGGGGTGGTTGGTGGGTGTTTGTCTGTAGCGCACTTGAAGGGCTCAAGAGCGGCTTCTTTTCTTCGTTTAATAAAAAACAACAAATAAAATAAATAAAATAAATAAAATATATTTGTTTATACATTATAATTGCATACAATTAAAAAATATCTGCTTGCAGCAGCAGCAGCCTTCTTATTAGGGGGCCCCCTAAGCTTCCTGTCAAGGCCCCCCGTGTTGCTGCTGCTGCTGCTGCTGCTGCTGTTGCTGCTGCATGCGTTGTGTCTTCACCTTCTTCTCTTTAAAAGAAATCCTCTCTTGCATTGTTTGCTGCTCTGTGGTCCGCTAACACCGCCTTTGCTTGACTTCTCGCTGCTGCTGCTGCTGCTGCTGCTGCTGCGGCAGCTGCTTCCTTGGCGGTTTACACCGCTACACAACTGCAGCAGCAGCAAGAGAAGCGGCAACAACAACAGCAGCAGCAGCACCAACAGCAGCAGCAGCAACAACAGCGGCAGCGGCAGCCGCAGGGTGCAGAGAACGCTTGTTGATTTTGTTGCTGCTGCTGCTGCTGCTGCACCCTGGTTCCTTCTGGTCTTCTTGCAGCTTTGCAGCAGCAGCAACAACAACAATAACAACAGCAATAACAACAACAACAGCAGCAGCAGCAGCAGGTGTCTGCTGGGTTTAGCCATCGATTGCTGCCTCTTAATTTCAGTGTCTTGGTTGTGCTGCTGCTGCTAGTTGTTTTCTTCATTATTCTCTCTCTTTGCTTCTTTTAATTTGATCATTTCTGATGCTGCAGCTCCGCAGCATGGCGTTGCTGCTGTCCTACTGATGGTGCAGCAGCAGCTGCAGCAGCCGCTGCAGCAGCAGCAGCATCAGCTGCTGCAGCAGCAGCGGCAGCCGCACCTTGTGCAGCAGCAGCTTTCATTTGCTACTGCTGGAGCAACTGCTGCTATCCCTCCTTCAACGTTTTACCCTCAGCGTTCTGCTTCTGCTGCAGCAGCAGCAGCAGCAGCAGGTGGTGCTGCTCAATCTGTCAAGGGCCGGTCTCCTCCAAGGACTTCATCATCATCATCTTCATCAGCAGCAGCAGCAGCAGCAGCAGCAGGAGACACTGCATTTCGCTTCGGAAAGTTTGCTGGGAAGACATTTGCTTTTGTTGCTGCAGCAGACAGCAGCTACTGCAAGTGGGCACAAAGCCTTCCTGACCCCAAGGGGCAGCTTGCTGCTTTCGTTGCCTACCTGCAGCAGCAGCAGCAGCAGCAGCAGCAGCAGCATCAGGGTGACGGCCAGCAGCAGCAGCAGCAGCAAAGGCAGCTCACGCTACAGCTGTCGCCTAATAAGACGATTCGTTTAGCTGCAGACGGCGCTCTTGTAGCGCAGCCAGCAGCAGCAGCAGCAGCAGCAACGGTGACTGCAGCGGAAGCAAATGCAGCACCGCAGCAGCAAAACGTTTTAAACCCTTGCGTGCCTTCTGCCTTGGATTCAGTCGCACCTACTGCTGCTGCTGCTGCTGCTGCTGCTGCTGCTACGCACTCAGAAGTTGAGGATTTCGCCAGTGACTTCGACTTCGATATAAGCGCACTGCAGGAAGTGGAGCAGCAGCAGCCGCAGCAGCAGCAGCAGCAGCAGCAGCAGCAGC